CTTTTTTTATATTTTAGTTTTTCGTTTTTTTTTACCTTAATTTTTTTTCTTTCAAAATTTTTGTTTTTTTTGGTTATTGGGTCACTTTTTTCTCCAGATTTATTCTACCAACTTTTACTTGATCATGTTGATTTTGCAAGAACCTTCTCCCTTAAAGACAATTGGTTCTAATAAAAAAGCATAAAAAATTAAAGAAATAAAGATAAATTTTACCTCATAATAACGACTAATTCTTATACTAATAATGTATAGATGAATATTTTATTCTGATGTAATAGTCGTTATGATTTTACAAAGAAGAAAAAAAAGCATTTTAAATTTTCACAAGGAGAGAAAAAAAAGTATTAAGAAGAGAAGAACGAGAGTTACAATCATTTAAATGAGAGAAGAAGAATGATTTGAAAATAATATTATAAAAATAATAAATAGAAAAATAATGACTATTCAATTTATTTATTTATTTATTATAATTATGTTAAAATTATATCAGTTTCTAATGTTAAGTGTGATTATAAATAAATAAAATTTAGAAAAAGGATTACATTTGAGCAAGATAATTTGCACTTATTTTTTATTATTATAAAGAATAAAATATAGTTACTTGATAGTCTTTTTAATTTTTTTTTTCAACCAATGTTTTTGTGGAAATTTTCCTTCAAAGAATTTTTCACAATTTCCTTAATCTCTTATCATTTTCAATTTATCCTTTTAACCTTTATTTTTAAATTGAAATTCAATTTTTAAAAATAAAATATCAACAATTAAAAGTAAACTTATATTATAATACAAAGTATTTATCATAAATATAAAATATAGTTTAAATTTTAAACATATTTATTTATTGATAAATTTAATTATAATTTAATTTATATATTCAAAAATATTTATTTATTATTTATTTATGTATGATATGATATGTATTTATTATTTTTGGACATATAAAGTGAATGGGCTTATAAGAGACTGGGCTTTGGTCTATAAATTAAGAGTCTTTACTCTCAATTTAAAGCTATAAAATTGTTATCTTGGTAAACAATTTTGTATGCCCAATTTGTAAGAAGACAACCCTAGCCATCACAAGATAAGAGAGTAGTTTTCTCTGATTTTTTTCTTCATGGGTTTAAATCAAGATTGCAAACATTGAATCAAGATTCCTTCTGATATTAGATCAAGCGACAGACATGTATTAATAGTTCTTCAAGGTACAAACATCCTCAAACCTTCATTGTTTTTTTTTTTTTGTCATATGAATATCATGTCATGTATCACTATGTCCCAATATGTAACAATATTTCTTCCAAAAACTTCAATTGGTATCAAAGTATTAATTGATACATCTGATTCTTAGGTAACATCTTATAATATATTTGAATCCAAAAGACCAAACAATGACACTTATTTATTTAAGATCTCAAAACTCTGTTGTTTTATATATTGATCACCATGTTGGTTTAGTATAGTTATACTTCTTCCAACCTAACATCAATCATAATGGAAAAACAAGTTTTATAACAACGTAAAACATTATAGATTATTGTTTTTTTAATCCAGGAAAACTTGATTTTAGATTTTTGTTTTGTATCAACGATTCATAAAAAATCAATTTAGGGTTTTCCTTAGAAATTATGTGAAAAGTAACCTATTTTGTATAGATACGAGTACTGAATATCGATTATGGTTAGAGTTTTTATTATTATTATATTTTTATCAATCATTCATAATATTAGTTTAAATTTTTTCTTATAAATTATAAAAAAATAACTCATGTTGTATAGTGAATTATGTATCATCCATATTTATACATGTTTTAGAGACTAATATGATGAAAAATAATTTTTTAGGGACTAGAAAAATAAAACATCTAAATTATTGGGACTAAAATATCCAAAAATAATTTTTGGGGCTAAAAAAATAATTCACCATAAAAAATATCAACTAAAAGATATTTAGCCAAATTAAAATAAGAAAAACATCTTTATTCTTCACAAATATTGCAAACTCTATTTTCTCTTTTCACGGTTAAAATTGTTGGGATACAAGCAAAATCCCACATCATTCAAACAAGAGGATGAACATGAGTTTATATATACACAGTTGTCTCTATTGATAGAGAGACCTTTTGGGTGGTGTTCAAAAGTAAAACCACGAGGGCTTGGGCCCAAAGTGCACAATATCTCACCAATGTGACATTCATGTCATATTTTTAAAAAAAATGTTTAAAAAAATTTGGTGTACCGAACGTCTCCTAACTTTATTGTACAATAAATGAGAAACCCATTTTAGAATTAAAAAAAAAACCGTTGATATCTTCATGAGTGCTTCTAACATGAAGTACTTTGGTACATGCCTCATCCATGAGATAGAAAATTTATTGGTAATAGCAAGTTTTCTAACTTGTTTATATTTCCAAAATAGTCCTTATATTATATGCGGAGACACGGTGGAGGCGCGAAAGCACTACCTCGTTCGTGCAGTGGAAGCGGAAGCACGACTTCGTTCGCACGGTAGTAGTGGAGGTGTCGTCTCCTTCCATGGTGGTGGCAGTGGAGGCGTGACCTATTCGCGCAATGGTAGTAGAGGTAGGGGCTCCTTCGGGCGGTGCAGCGAAAGCGTGGCCTCGTTTGCGTGGTGATAGTGAAAAGTTCGGCTTTGTTTACATGGTGACAGCGGAGGCGCAGGCTCCTTTAAGCGGTGGAAGCGAAAGCGCGACTTCGTTCGCGCGGTGGTAGCAGAGGCACGACCTCCTTCACGCAATGGCAGCGAAGGTACGACCTTCTTCACACGGTGACAACAAAGTCTTCTTTACACAGGGACTAATCTGCAAAATACAAAAATAAATATTTCCAAGTTACCAGTTATAAATCTAAACTATTGATTATTATAATATTAAATCTAATGATAAAAAATAATGTTTCATTCATGTACCATATTTTTTGCTACTTCATGTTAGAATTTTCTAGCATCTAAATATATTGTGGGCTAGTCATGAAGATAGGAAAATTCTAACATGAAGTAGCAAAAAATATGGTACATGGATGAAATATTATTTTTGACCATTAGATTTAATATTATAATAATCAACGATTTAGATTTGTAATTGATAACTTGGAAATATTTATTTTTGTATTTTGCAGATTAGTTCCTGTGTAAAGAAGGCTTCGCTGTCACTGTGTGAAGAAGGTCATACCTTTGCTGCCACTACGTGAACGAAGTCGCGCTACCATCGCTTGAAGGAGCCCGCGACTCCGTTGCCACTGCGCAAGCGAGGTCGTGTTTTCGCTGCCACCGCCCGAAGGAGCTTGTGCCTCTGCTGCCATCGTGCAAAGAGGTCACGCCTCCGCTACCACCACCGTGGAAGGAGACGACACATCCGCTACCACCATGCGAACGAAGCCGCGCTTCCGCTTCCACTGTGCAAACGAGGCCGCGCTTTCAGTGCCACTGCCTGAAGGAGCCCGTGCCTCCGTTGCCACTGTCGAAGGAGATCACACCTCTGCTGCCACCACCGTAGAAGGAGACGACACTTCCGCTGTCACCGTGCCTCTGCCACCACTGCGCCTCCGCTGCCACCACCGTGGACTTTCGCTGTCACCATGCCTCTGCCACCTCCACGCCTCCACATATAATATAAGAACTATTTTGTAAATATAAACAAGTTAGAAAATTTGCTATTGCCGATAAATTTTCTATCTCATGGATAAGACGTGTACTAAAATACTTCATGTTAGAAGCACTCTTTGACGCTAGTAGTAGCTCAAGGTTTTGGCAATCTTACCATGAATTCTATTCCTCTTATCCTATGTAAATCATAGCAAGTATACACGCCATTTCGCAAAGTTTATAAGTTGCAAAAAAACTGTCATAACTTGATAACATTTGCTTTCCGATATTTCAACTAAACATGACCATAAGACGGTCTTTAGATATAAGGTCAAGAATAGCCAGTAATTTTATTTATTTAGATCCGCAATGCATACTTTCCTAATCTTCTTTAGTATTCAGGCCATTGTTTTAATAATGATTGAACGAGCTAACAAAATACTACATTTTCACTTTTTCATTTTTTTTTCTCTTTTTTTTAATTTATAAATTTCTCTTTTAATTGTCACTTGCATCAATTATATTTTTCTTTTCTAAATTACTCTTATTTAATTAACAATTTTTTAAAACAAAAGGTAATAACTACTTACTTACTTTATATTTTTTTAGAACATTAATTAATGGTTAAGATATTTTTTGTTCATATAATTTTACTTACTTTACTTTTTATAGTTAAAAATTAACATTTTTAATCCTCATACTTATCATTTTCAAATTTTTTTAGTTCTTATAATTTAATCCTCATACTTATAGTTTTGTAATCATTTTAGTTTTTTTTTGTCATGTCTCTATTATGTTGACGTGGTAACGGGTCTTCAATTTTGTGAAGGTAAAAATATGTCTCAATAATGGACATTGCTAGTGAAGGAACAAAAGAGTTGCAAAGTGTTAAAAATTTAATTTAGAATAATTTCAACAAAATAAATTTAACATTAAACACATAAAATTAAATTAATATTTATGTCACATTAACACAAAATAGGAAAAAAAATAATAACAAAAATTAAAAAAATTACAAAAGTACAAATATATGCTTAAAAAGATTTGCCTTAAACTATAGAGATTAAAAATGAATAAAAAAATAAGTATTAGTAATTTAAATAAAAAAAAAAGAGAAAGAGAAAAAGTCGATTTTAAAAAATTAATTTAAATTATTGATAAATTTAATATTTTTTTAACAAAAATAATTATTTTAAAAAATATAATTTAATTGAAAAAGTCTTATAATTATAAATTGAAGTATTGTTGAATTATAACCACATTAATAAAAAATAACTAATTTTTTTAAAAAATATAATTTAATTGAATGAATCTTATATAATTAAGGATGGAGGTATTGTTGAATTATAACCACGTGAGTTGTAAGATAAATGGTTTAACTTGAAAGGCAGCCGATTTGCAAATTAGTTCACTACTTATCTCAAATTATATCAAAGTTGTATCTTCATTTACACTGATTTCTTTGATCATGAATAAAATTAATGTTCTTTACAGAACTTTGTGAAATTGTTGTCTAAACTATAATCATTACAAAAGAATCACTATGTTATTACTATCAAAATGAGAATCACTCGATTGTGAGTGCCTTTAACCCTCCATGAAACATTCCGACTTCGCAATTTTCTGTCTGGACACTTTTATCTACAACAATCTAGAGTCTCACAGACCATGGAAAAGTGAAGTAGCTTTCTTCAAGCAGCATTCAGCCAGTCAAGAACACTTCAGTAAAGCATTTAGGTCTTTGACAATTTGATCAACGGCATAAACTATCATCTTCTTTATCTGTTCCATCAAGGATTAAACCACTTCACCATATAATCCTGTTATTTTGCAGTTGACGTTATAAAGAGACAGAAGGAAATATAATTGTGAAGCATGTTACCTCAAGTTTATCTTCTCTAGCTCTGTGGTTCTTGGGAAGCTGGCGGAACTCATTGGTCAAACGTAGACACTCATGGATATTTTCAGGGGACACAAAGTCTACGGCAACTTTTGTGCATGACTGTTCAAGGTTTGGCATATGATGATTAGAGAAACAGAAACAATTAAACAATTTGAGAAAGTTAATCAAATGTGTCGAGATATTTTACCTTGAGATTTCTGACTTGATGCGGGCATCCCGCAGGAATAAATACTGCCTCCCCAAGTTTTTGTTCAAAAGTCCATGGTTCTACACCTAAAAGTCAAAATTTGCGTAAGTAACTAATTACAGAGACACTGAGCAAGCAAATTGTATGCAATTTCTATTTACTAACCAAACTTCTCCTTCAGCTTCTTCTTGTGCTCCAATGTCAAATAAAAGCATTGGTCGTGAATTGGATGTACAACCTAATCAACAAAGAATTTAATTTGAGCAAAAAATCATAGAAAATAATGATAAGCAGAAATGTAAGTAGTTATAATTCTAATACCTGTTCAACTGAAGAGCAAAAAGTATGTCTAAATTCTTTTGAGTGTTTCCTAAGATATGTCTCTAACTTTTCAGAATCCTCTCTCCGAAATATATCCCATAGGGCACCGCCTGTTTCCATTGATTCATTCCCTGTAGTAGAAGTGACCCCCTCAGGAACTTCATTTGGAAAGATCTTTCCATTAATTTCAATGGGTCGCTTCCCCATGTCTTTGGGTTCTAAAACTTCCTTATTTTCTTTGCGTTTTTTGATGTCTTTGAAGAGTCGACCATTCCGGATGTCAGCAATCATCTCATGAGCATACTGTTCTCTCTCATCTTGTGCCTTGTGTGCTTCTTTCAACTTTGAAATAATAAAGTGCTGCTCATCGGTTAACATCACCTCTGCTGTATGGGTCAAAATATTTACCTATGACAATTACCAAACAAGAAATCAGAATAAGAGGCCAATGTGCTTCCATTTGAAACACATGATATATGAAAAGTTTCTAAACCAAAAACCACGTGTATGAGTAATAGAAGGGTCATCCTATTCTCTTAAGTACCAAATTTTTATATTGCGCCACCTTACAAAATAGTTATGCATTAAGAAACTAAACTTCAAACCATATGAAGATATCCTTGTTGAATAGGAGAAGTAATATAGCATATAAAGTAAAAATTTCTACATCTAAAGGAATGCTCATCTACCAACAGGAAATTAGAAAGATCATTGAAACCAAGTTTCCAATCCAATGCGCAAACCAAAAGATTGAATATGTATGAGTGTGTAGAATATTCAAATGAAAGAGAATTGGCCAACCATTGCTTACGAAATCAAATTAAAGCCTAATGAAGCTTGATACATACCGCATCTGACATATCACAATGAAGCTTTGTTACAGAGTCTCCTCTGCCAAGCTCTTCTTTAATCCCATAAGCAATATATGTTTTTGGACCCATGTCAGGTTTGATGACATGAGCTGGTAACTTCGCAGCAACATTGAGAATTCCAGCGCGAGGATCAGTGTACTCTTGAAATGGCAAGGAACGAATAAACTCGTCACAGTGGCGGGGCAAAAGATCTTCAAATTTATCGGAGGGGGGCCAGTCTTTTAGCTTGAGCATCTCTGGCCAGAGATTTCTGTATGTTCTTCCCTCTATATAACCTTTAAAGAATGTGCGGGTATCAATTTCTACCTGCATAGGTTTAAAAGGATGAATTTTTATATAATTCTACAATGTCTCACGAAATACAAACTAAAAATATTACACTGAATTTTGGAAGATGAAATACTAAGATGGCAGTTGAAGCCCCACAACATGTGGAATTTAAATCACAAGAATAAAGGCACGATGGCACTGGATGGTATACTATCATAGTCAATAAGACATGCCTTATGCATACAGTACTAGATTTTTATTTTTTTTTGAACAGCAAATATACAGTACTAGATGTTAGTTATCTCTCTTGTAATGATACTAGGAGGAAAGTAGGTATTAAAGCATTCTTTTGGCATCCTTAAGAAATTTGAAATTCACAGCCATTCCACAACAGAAGAGGGATTTGGAAAAAAGGAAAACAATAAAAATATATACATACAATTTGACCAAATGTTCAAACTGAGCATCAAAAGGGACAGCAAGACCAAACCTCACAATTAGCCAGGCAATCAATGGCTTTCACTTCTGACATTTTTGAACTGATATCTGAAACCATATTTTCACATAATGCTCGCCACATTACCATTGGCTCCCAGCTCAGACCAGTCCCCTGTTTAAGGGCATCACGAACTATAATTGGTTCACCATTAGCCCAATGGTTTTGGAAAATCAACATCTCTATGTCATTGTCATTTATGCCTCTAAGAGCATCCTTTCTCATAGAGGTGTAGCTTGATACTGCTTTTTGTCGAAGGCTTGGGAGCTCAATTTCGCAAATTTCCAGCGTACTGCGGGCTTTGGCTTCCAAGTCAGATACCCACCAACGTGGGAGGATGCGTCTCAGCTCCAATACAGCACTACCACAACCCCCCAACTCCTTTGGCGCACAACTAATGCTTCCATCACTCTTAGCATTCCACACAGAATATGACTTAATATGACCTTCATATGTCTCTAAATCACAATACACAGGTAGAGGGTCACCACCATGCATATATTCATAGCCCCTATTCACATATTGGAACTTCAACTCAGGCCGTGGTGCAATGTTTCCATCACGTATTTCTTGACAACAACTGAGGCAGAGTTCAAAGGAACAATTGGGGCAGCTTCTATGAAGATCAATAATTGAAGTAGCACAGTGGTCACTGCACCAAGACCAAAAATATAGAACAAAGATATTATAGAACATGTAAAGAATCATGCTAGTATCTTAAGAAAGAGGACATTTACCAATAGACACGTTCATCGTCGCCACAAAGACTTTGGGGTATCTCGATCTCGAAAGAAGATTTTCCTGACAGAAGAGTTTATCTTTTGTGATTTGTTCAAAGAAATAACAAAAAAAAAAACTCATGGTAAAGATTAAAACCTTGTATGTTAGATTCAATCTTCTCCTCTTGACTTTGTCCACGACAAATTTGTTTCAAAAATGGTATGAGTAAGTTAATCATATATTGCAGATACTGAGCTTTTTCATAATCGGTGATGTCCCTGTTAGATGTCTGAAAGTAGATATCAAAAGAATTTGAAAAGGTTAACAGTGCAGATATAATTCTAATGTAGTATGACAATTTTGTTCTATTACAGCTATAAATTTAGGGGCTAAACATCAGAACATATCAAACCTTAATCATTCCTCTTGAACATAAGCAGGCATTACAATTGCAATTTTTGCGGCAAAATGGACAACTTGTAGCAACTTCTTCTACTGACATGTCAGGGTACCTGCGTGCAAAGTTCACAAACAGCTTTATTTTGTAATGACAATTCAAAACTACACAAACAAGCACATAATCCTTCAGTAGAATTTATAATCAGATGTAAATTGACATACCATTTATCCAGACATCGCATACAGTACATCTTTGGGCATTTAGTACATGACACATAATATATCCTATCCTTATTCAAGCATTGATGACATATTCGGACATTTTGTCCAACATCCTGTTCAGACAATTAGTTAAGCATTTTTTAAATATGATAGTATAATATTCCACCTATAAAAAGAAATCTGTCATAAAAGATCAGTGTAAGAAATAAGCACTGAGAAAGATTGTCACCATCACATTGTCCATTCTTTTAGCTATCCTCCTGCTCTTTGACTTTATAAGAGTGAGCATTTCTTCATCTTCCAAGTCGTCAATCAATAGATCATCTTCGGATTTCCTTTTTCTTTTTGGGGAAGTAAGCTTATTTGTCTCATCTTTCTTGGATGGCAGGTTAGTTGCCTTTCTCTTTCCATTAATTTTAGAGCATCTACTGAATTCCTGCTTATCCTCAGAGTGTTGTTTCGGTTGCCCTTGTCTTCTTTGAAGAGCAACCTCCATTCTTACTGAAGAATGAACAGGGAAATACACTCAAATAATAAAAAAAAATCCAAAAATCGCAATGCAGATTACCATTCATTCAAGCACTAATTTGCCAATCTTTTATAGAGTCTAAGCAACCCATATTTCCAGTGTAGAATATCAATTTCTAAACCTATACATACAGCCAGCATAAGTTTCCTACTATATTCATAAGCACAGCAAAGGAAACTGAGAATTTAAGAAGCACTGCTACACTAAAAACCCAACAAACCATTTTTTCTATAAAATCATATTAAATTCAGTGGGCATGACTAATCAATAAGGTAGTGGTTTCTTTAGATATGTCAAAACTCAAAACCGATAACCATTCAAGAAAACAAGGAACTGTAAGGCAACAAGTTGTGCCAGGAGAAGCTTTATCATGATGATTCATGAATCGGTAAAATATACCCCATCATGAATTTCCGAAAAAAAAAGGTTGAATATATTTTTTCAGAAAATAAAAAATAATAATAATTTCCAGTGAAAGTTTCAAGTCAACTTAACTGAGTTGAACGGAGTCAACCTAACAACATTGGTTACCCCGAAAACATCAAACAAAGAAGAATATCAATTGCATTCACGAGTGGAAAAACAAAAACAAAATCAATATTAATGAAAAGATTCCAAAGGACTTCGCGTGTATCACGAATGACACAGGAATCAGAAAACAAAAATACAAATGAGAGAGAGCAGAATTTCAGAATTCATACACGAAAAATAAAAACCCAATTGAATGAAACAAACCTAAATTATAAAAATTCTCTGATAAACAGCTTACGAAGTCTGGCGTTCAGAAATTTAGAAACAGAATCAATGTGATAAGATATCTGAAAGCGAATTCAAAATAGCAATGATAAAAAGAGAGGAGAGATGAGGATCACGATCAGAATCACTGAATCAGAGGGTATACAAGGATAACAGTAATACTATTATTTACCAGAGTCAGATTCTGAAAACCTTTGCCTACATCAGAAGACACAGACAGGTTTTGCTTACTTTCATAGTCTTTTTCTATTATATATATATATCATCATATCATCATGTTGTGCTGACTGCTGAGTAGTGTTGGGTCTTTTGGAATTTTAGGATTCCAAACGCTGCTCACTTTAACCACTAAGATTTAAGCACGTGGATCATAAATCCTTTCCCAATTCCGATTCTCCCCTAAATAAAGAGTTTTTAATTATATTTTCATGTTAGTCCCATCACTATTTTTTTTATTTGATAATATTTATGAACGGGTGAATATGGTCTCACCTATTAATTATGGAGATTAACTTTCGGATTTTGTAAATAGATTACAGATTTTTTTTTTTCATTAGAACGATATCAATTTATAACTGGCGGAATGTGCAAATCTGTGGTCAGTTACATCTTTATTAGAAGGAAGAAAAAAAAAAGAGAGATAATTCGTGTTTATAAGTTTCTTGAAAAATAAAATAAAGATAGTAAAAACTATATAATTGCGAGTGATTTATAATTGAAGAGATTTGTTTTTAGATAATTGATAAAGAGAAAGACAATGTAAGTTTTTTAAAGAACTATTCTTCCATTTTCTATTATAAGCTAAAAAAATATATTATATATATATAAGGAAATTTTAACAATTTTTTATTCATTTAATAATATTATTCCTAAAATAATATTCATTTAACGCATGAAATTTTAATTGTACTATTTTTTAAAAACATTTATAATAAGGATAATTTAAAAATAATATTATAAGAATAGTAAATTTTAATATAATTAATTCATTTTCTTAATATATATATATATAATTAATTTCTTTTTTTTATAATAGAGAATCAAAGGAATAGTTGAGGATGAGGTAACTGCAAGATTAGTCCAACATATTATTAGGTCTAAAATAAGTCTTAAAATTAGTTTTTTTAAAAATTAATAATAATATCTTTTAATAAAAATATTTTAATGATGGATCTTGAAAAAAAAAATATTTGTAAATCTTTTAGATATGGATTTTTTAAAATGAACTTTTAAGAATGTAAAAAATAACTTTTGAGTTATAAACTTTTAAAAAATTATATAAATATTAATGTAAAATATTTTTAGCAAAAAGTCTTATTGAGATTATGCTCGATCCAGTCTACATAACTCTTAAGGGAAAAATTGCGAAAACAAAAACCAATTATAAAATATATATATATATATATATATATATATATATATATTCTATTAATGCTACAGGTATAATTATTGCCATATCAATTGAGACTAGCATCTCTTGATTATTTTATAAATAAATAAAAAATCTATTTTAAATAAATCATAATTATATGAGGTTAAATTTGGAGAAAATATATAAGATTGGAGAATAATACATTTTGGCAGATTTTTTTTATATATATTTATCTTTATATATATAACGATGTATAAAAATATATTTATATTTAATTTCTATTTCTTTTTATATTTATACTTCTTTATTATATTTTATATTTTTCATTACATATCTTTTAAGAATAAAATAGAAAAGAAAAGGAATATATATATATATATATATATATATATATAATCATCCACTTTGTCAATAATCATTATCCAATTATTTTATATCTTTCTTTTTTAAAATTACTTTATTTACTAATAATAACGATACATTATTTTGATTGATTTACATTTAGTAATTTTTTTTCATTTTATTTTTAAACTAAATTTATAAAGAAAAATATCTCTTTTTATTAGTGTTAAATAAGATGTATTTGAAGTATTGTTCTTCTTCTTCTTTTTCAAATATAATTTTTCTTGAACTTCTAAATGAGGAATTAGTAAAAAAAATATTTTAAAAATACAAATAAATGATAAAATCCCCTTGGAAGTAGAAGCGTGTCAGATCAGAAAATTATTCTTTTAATATATTTACTAAAATAGATAATAATTAACTGGATTTGATTATTGTATTATTTTCTCTGAATAATGTTGTATTCCCATAAAAAAAATCTCTCTGGAAATATTCCTAATATTTATGAAGAAAGTATTAAATGAAAAAGTCAATATTTAATGTCTTAAAAAACAGTGTTGTCAGTTTTTCTTTTAAAAAAAAAGTCAACAACTTCTTTGTCTAAAAATAATTTAATAAAGAAACAATAACAGCTAATAAACTTAAGATATTTTTATTGATACATAAGATAAAGAAAGCCAAGAAAAGGGATGAAAAATCGATACATGCCCTTTTTGTTTTGCAAGAACAAATCTTTCCCTCCTAATCTTTTAAAAGGAAGTATCTTTTTAACGTTTCAAGTTAAAATTATGTGAATGAAAAAAATATAATTAAAAAAATCTATTAAAAAGAATTAGATTCTCATCAATAAAATTAATAGATATTTGATATTAATAATATAATTATTTAAAATAAAATAAAATATTTTTATCTAAACTTTTTTAAAATATTATAATCATAATATATTTCTAAAAATTAAAATATTCTTATAAATTACTTTTTGATTCCAAGTTCAATTTTTATGAATTATATCTATATATATATATATATTGTTTAAATTTCACTTATCTCATAAGTTTTCTGATAATTTTTAATTTTAAAATATTCTCTTAAATTATGTTTATATTTAATGAAAAGTATATAACAAAATATTCCTCATCAAAACAAAATATAACAAAATATGTATTTAGTCAATTAGAAATTCCGAGAATTTAAGCAATGATTAAAGAAAGAGAAGAAAAACATCAATAATAAATGTGTTAAGAAAATAAATAATTAAAAATATAAAATTATAATAGTATAAATATAACGACCTGTCACGATCTTTACACTTAATAGAATCATATTGATTTGGATTACTTAGAATTATACATTCACAAATATTTATATATGTATTATATATCATGTATATAAGTGTGAAACAACCATACAAATATAAACAATATATATATAATAATCCAATAAATCCAAATATAAATCATAAGAATCAATCAAGTGATAACTATACAAAACTAACACAAATAATACAACAAAAGTCACCATTCACTTGATGGTCTCCATTGGTACACCTTAATAAAACTTATCCATATTCTGTTCTCGTAATAATAAGTATGATCATCGCAATTTTAAATCACAAAGAAAACATACAATAGTAAGCTTGTGAAATAAAAATAACATACAACTAGAACATCAGTATAAACTAAGTTATCATTCACTTGATGGTCTCCAGTGGTACACCTCAATAAAACTTATCCATGTTATGCTCTCGTAATAAGTATGATCATTGTAATTTTAAATTACAAAGATAATATGCAAAAGTAAGCTTGTGAAATAAAAATAACGTACAACTAGAACATTAGAATCAACTAAAGTAACATGAACAACAATATTCAATTTAACTTGTCACCAATACTACTCATATAAGTTACAACATAAAACAACTTAACAATTTAATCTCAACAATATAATCATCATACGATAATATACAATTAATGCGTCGTCACACATATAACTAAAGATGTCTCTTATAACAAGATGAGCAATTTAAGTGTCAGATCCTACCGAATCACAACGTTTAACCTATCTAAACTAGGTCAGGTATAGACAATGTTAAGCCTCTTAGAGCGTCAGGTACAGACAACATAAATTGATTCCTCAGGTTTTATCACTTAAACTAAGAAGTTTAATACTACTATCAGAGTAAAATAATTTGGGTATGAACCTACACGACATTAGTCTAC